CGTTGAAAAAATAAAGTACCTCTAATAAAGGTTAATCTTTTTTTTTTATTTCTAACTAATTACAAATATATTAACACCTTTGATATGCGGGTATTGTATATGATCTTTCGAGAAACTTTTGTACCTAGCGAAAAGTACTTTCAGCCTTTACGCAAGCAAGCAAAGTCGAAGTTTTACCAAAAGCAAGACGAAGAAACAGAGCTATGGTATAAATGGTAGCTTCCCTCACCTTACTTTGATTCAAAAGAAAGGCGGAATGTCTGTTGTTTTAATTGAGACAACATTTGAGTAAGGGCAAAGACCGACTATGTCAAAGGACAATGCTATCCTCATATTCTAAGTATCTTCATAATTGTATGATATTGTCTGCTTTTGACATAATTCTTACGACTTTGCTCTTGATTTCACCTAACATGCTTCATACCAATTGAGATAATTAATAATCCTTATCTATATATCATGGATCATACTCTTCCCTCGTCAATGTGAGACTTTGTTTACATTCTTCCTACAAATCCAACAAACTAAAACGTGAAAATACGACCTTGTTATGTGTATGTGCATGAAATCATCTTTTAAACCTGTAAGACAGCAACGCTCTTTGTTTTTTGCTCGGTTATGGCCTATAAGCTCATGTGATTAAGTCTTGAATATGGCATTTATATAGAGTTTTAATTATTTTAACCTTTTTTTTCTCTTTCTTCACCTTTTATTTTTATAATTAATGTTTTTCATTTCTCTAATTTAACAAGCTCTTTGTATAAATACAATTTTATTTTTATTTTTGATACATTTTTAAATTTCTTATTTGATTCTTATAATTTATGAAAACTGTATAATAGATTAGAGTAACTCCATCATTATTAAAATTGTAAAAATAAATTAATAGTTGACTCATTAATATAAGTACTAAAAAGATTAAAAAAGAATTGCCACCATAACTTATCAAGTCAAGACAGATGTATTGACCATAAGAATGTGGTAGGAAGTTCGAAACTTCACTTCCACGTATTGTATTTAAAAAAATTAAAAATTAATTTATTAATAGAGTTATCGTTAAACTACCGTTAGATTAAAAAAAAAGAGTAGGTCTCTCTAAATCTTTTGTTACTTTATTTATAATTTTAACCCTCTCCCTCGCTAAATGAACTTGAATTAAAATTACATAGAATTTTCTACTCTAATACGTTATAAAACTATACATACATAGTTGGCCTGTAAGTTTCAGAAGTATTGGGGAAGAATTATGGAAGAAAAAGAAAGAAATTAAACGAAAGTGAAAGAGAGATGCAAAGAAACTGCAGGGAACAGAAAGGCAGGAGCGGAAATCGTGGGCCTGTCTTATTCGGGAAGTAACCGGTAAGCAAAATCTCCATCACTACCTGCAAAAAAGCGGTGAGAAATAATCAGGATATCCTCTGGTACGGCAAAAAGGCCAAAAAGGAGAGGCCGATGGATCGCATCGCAGCAGAAACTTAAATGAAGGCACGAGAGAGGAACGGCCTTCTTTTGCAGTCCGATCCTTCAAATAGAAACTCCTTCCATTTCAGAGCCAGTACGTCCACTTTATTCAATATTTGGTTGTGTATAAAGAACCGTTATTAAAACCCCCCGCTGCCCACTGCCCACTGCCCACTGCATAATATAATAACCACGCTTTTCAAACTTACCAACATCAATAATTTCAATAAAAAAAAAAAATTTATATATTACAGATTAGAAAAGTGGGATGATGCTGGGCTTGGAACCAGCAGTAGAGAATGTGGTCATAAAAGGATCCGTGGGATTTTCATCTGCTACAAAACAAAAGCCTGGTTTGTATATTAACTCCATCTGATTCCGTTGTCCCTGACAAAATATTTTCTTGTCGTTCAAATCTGGTGCTGGTTTCTTTCATTTCATTTCATCGTCATTTTCTTTTTTCTGCTTAATTATATATAGGCTTCTCCGCCACTTCCCTTATATCTTTTTATAAACAAATTAAAACCCCACCGGCCACCGTAACCGTCACCTCTCTCTCTCTCTCTCTCTCTCTCTCTCTCTCTCTCTCTCTCTCCACCAAAAACTATCCAAGTCTTCATATCGGTGGCTGGCCGGTTAAAAAATTGGGATGAGGATTGGACGGTGGCGATTTAAATCTGTGATAATTCAAGCCTCAAAGAAATAACCAGTGGCAAGCGATTTCAAGTACTTTGTAACATTTTATCAGAGGACAGAAGATACTGAACGATGTGGTCGGTAATTTTGTAAAGTTTAATGTATGGAAAATAACTTATAAAATTATTGGACGGTAGTTACATTATGGCAGCTGCTACATTGTAACACACGACAGCGCCAGTTATATACTCGTGATGTTTATTAGTACAATATGTAAAGGGGAGTATTCAGGCCAATGATTTTTTAGACGGTAATTGATATTTTAATCAATTATGTTCATGTTATTTTATATAGTTGTTATTTGATGTGGATGTGTTTACTTTATGTAATTATTTTTGTTATGATTAATAAAACAGTGTGAAAGAAGATATACTATATAAATTGACTTTAGAGAACGAGTTTAAATATTAAACGAGCAAATTAAACACCAATCCAGACAGTGTTAAGCTAGTAAAATAAATAAGAGAAAATTACAAAAATAGGTCAAACAAATTATGTATTTATGTATATAGTATTAGATTTAAAATAAAAATAAAAAACATAATCTGCGAACTTATATAATCACATAGAGTAACTAAAAAGTCATTTTGTTACATTTTTTAACACAAATAAAAAGTAACTATACTTTTATAATACAAAGTTATTTATTTTATCACGTTTAGTATAATTTATCAATAAAAATGTCAGTTTGTACAAATGTGAGGTGACGGAGTCCTTAAAAATGACTTTTGTGGAGGTGGTTGGTTTCTAATCGAAATAAAATTAAAGTAAAATTATAATATTTATCTTCCACTAGTTCTTAGTGTTTAAACTGAAAATTATTTCAAAGTGCATTTCAAATTTAATTATAAATTCATTTAGTTTACTGTCACTTGTATCAGTTAATGAGATGCGGACATGATATAATCTTTTATATAAAACGGCTGGAGTGAAATAATTGTACCTTCTCTAACTCTGTGCAACCATCTTTATAGGAAGACATTAAAACTTCTGCATCTATTTGCTTTTTGAAATTCCCTATTATTATTATTATTATTATTATTATTATTATTATTATTATTATTATTATTTTATTTATATATTCATTTATTTATGATATCTATATACCATTTTTCTTACTTGGAGCGTCTCCTCGTAGCCCTTTTTTATGTTTCTCATGTTCTTTTAATAGATTAGTTGGTATCATTTTCAATATATATATATATATATATATATCTTTGAATAAAATAGAAATAAAAACACCGAAGAGAAAATGAAATATATGGAATGTGCTCACCATGAAGTGACTACACATACGATAATTATAAAGAGGGTATAATTACGATAAACATCCAAAAAATTTACGAAAAGAATATAGTCTGGTACACACTACCAGAAAAAAAAAAGAACTAATCATTTACTCATTAAACTAACTACACAATCAGACACATGATCAAATACTCAAATTGAATTGAATTATAATTAATACATGGTCATAATAATTTTAGGTATTAAATTTCATTCACATTTCTATTTTTATAATTTATATGTTTGACATAAATGATAAATGAGGAATCAATTTTCGTAGTATAGTAATAAAATCGATCAAATATTAAGATAAGAATACCAATAGAATATAACTAAGGTTGACATAGAATTAATAACAAAAATTTTTAACTTATGCACTCAAAAAATTTCTTATTCCTCGAAATCAATATTTTTATAAAAATTGACTTTGGTTCTGTTCAAAACAAAAGCCATGAATTTTTAACTTCAAATACCGAGATTAGGGTTTACATCGACTTGGTTTTGTGTTAAAAACAAAAGGAATGAATTTGAAAAAGGATAAAAAAAAGAAAAAAGAAAATTAAAAAACTGGTAAGAAAACATGAAGATTAGGGTTTTATGATTATGGAAATGAAAAAGGGCACACAAAAAATGGATAGGATATAGAGAAAAGGCCAAAGGAGGAAGGAACAACTTCTGATCGCCGCCAGTGTAATCATTCCGATAGACTATGACAACGGCTGTCATCTCCAACTTCCCATAAACAATTAATATTAATAAACCACTTCTGTTCTTTCCTCTTACTCTTAGCCCCAAATTGCCATTCCTAATTTTCCCTTTTATTCCACTTGTCACACGGCGACGTTTTGACTTTGCATTGCCCCACCAACTATTCTCAATTCTCATACGCTAAACCACACCACACCAATGTTTTAAACCCTCACATTTATGTCAAATCATACTCCCCCTCCCTTGTAATAAGCGTAATTTGGCATTGGAAATATGGAATTAACAGTCAGTCCTCTCTTCATCTTCATCCAGTGGGCTGCTCCTAATCCTGTGCCCTCCAACAGCTGTCAATGGGCAAACTCCCAAGCACCCCCTTTCAATTACGTTTATTAACTCCAAATCCATACCTGAAATTGGTTGCAAAAACCTACATTCAATTTTGGGTTTAATTTGCACAAGGTTCTGAACATCTGAGAAATAAATTAGAGAGGAAAAAAAAAACAGATACTGTTATGTTCAATTCTACCACCATTAATCGGGATCGGCTGGCCCAGTAAAACATCCTAGTCGTTAGAATATTCTACTATTCTCCTCCTTCTCCTCTTCTCATCGACTTCTGTGTTTTTTTTGGCACACTCTGCATGAAATAAATCAATCGCTTTCTACATTATACCAGTCTCTCTCTCTCTCTCTCTCTCTCTCTCTTCAGTTCCGCTATAAATTTGGCCCCAAGCAGCTGCTTTTTTCAATGCACGAGCGTCTGGCTCTTTGAGAATTCCCTTTTGTTTTAGTCTCTCTCGCAAATTCTCTCATTTTTTTCGTGCTTACTCTGTTTAATTGTTTGTGCGATGGAAGAAGCACTAAGGCGGCTCAATGGAATGCCGATGACGGCATCTCACTTCGACGACGTCGTTCCAACTTCTGACAACCGAAAGAAATCCACTGCGGCGGCCACTTCCTCCGCGGCAAATACTGACCATCGGATCGTACGAGAGGGTTCGGGCTCTGGCGCAATGAGATACCGTGGCGTCCGACGCAGGCCATGGGGGCGCTACGCCGCCGAGATACGGGACCCGCATTCCAAGGAGAGGCGGTGGCTCGGCACCTTCGATACCGCGGAAGAGGCAGCACGTGCTTACGACTGCGCGGCACGTGCCATGCGTGGCCTCAAGGCCCGCACCAACTTCGTCTACCCGCCTTCCCCTCCTCCTTCCCTGCCCGATCAGCTTCTTAAGCAATCCCCAATTGGTCGTCACTACGCCACGTCGTCTAACTGGTCAACGTTCTCGAACGCTCATACGTTTGACTTCGCTGAACCCGCGCCGCAGAAGATTCCTCCCCCGTCTTTCCTCAACATGCTGCTCCCCCACGACCACACTACTTCTTCAAACCCTCACTTCCTCTCATCCGCCCCTCAGTTTCCTCTCTCCGACGACCACTTTCACGGTCCAAAATCTTCTTGTGTTTCTCTCCCCGCCATTCAAAAGCACGATAATATGGTCATTAACGACGATTTCATTGGCGACTCGGAATTCATACCCAAAGAACCGTCCGATTCGGGCCTTTTGGAAGAGATCATTCATGGCTTTTTTCCCAAACCCTCGATTAAGACCCACGAAGCTCCAAATTCTCAGCCTTTAAACTACGACTCGCCTGTCGTTTCGGCGACGGGGTTCGCTCACTCTATTGATGGGATCAAACGAGAATACGAGGATGAACGACAACAAAGCGGGTTTCCGTACAATTACCAGCCCGGTCCGGTTCAGTTCGGGAACTTGAACCATTCTTACGGTTACGTTGGTGAAGAAATGTCGTTCGTGAACGGTTTGCCGCTGAACGTGCAGATGGGGATGGAGTCGGGGAATTCGATAATGGAGAATCTTTTCCAGTACCCGGAGTTCCTCAATGCTTTTGCTGCTAAAATGCAAAACGCTTAATTTTTAGATTATAACCTAATGTTTTAATTTATTGGGTAGTTTTAATTGTTGATCTTCCGCCTTGTAATAGCGTGAAAAATTATTAATTGAAACTTAGAGATTTTCCCGAGAATGTTTCGTGCATATTACTATAGGCCTGATGGCTGTGTTTGTTCTTTTATGGACGGTGGGATTACCAGTGCTTGTTTTTGATGGCTAAACTGATGCTAAGCTTTTATAGTTGACTTTGATGTTGGTACGGGATTCCTCAGTGTTTCATAGGCCTCAGTACTGTAGCTTTTTAGATGCTAAAATCAAAATATTTGAAATCTTTTAATTTTTTTTTAATGGTTTGGCTGTAAGGCAAGGTAGAAACCCTAGATGATTCTTACGGATAAGGTTACTATTTGGTTGGATCATAATCTGCTTATCATCTTGTCGGATTTTCTTCGTTTATTTATTCTGATGTTGCGGTTTAGTAGAATATATTGCTTAGACTGTAATTATTTGTTCTTATTCTATTCATTAGAAACGGTGGAAAAAATATGGTCTCTAGGTTCAGGATTTCAAAATCGCTCTATCTTAACGTTTCTTTCAATTGTCTAATATAAAATCTCAACGTTTTAAATAAAGGAACGATTATATTTGCTAAAATTAGGTTTGAGTTTGAGTCTTAGTTTAGGCCATGCTATTAAATATCTGTTACACGTAGGCATTTCCCTCAATTGGCATATCCATGTGTATTCATGCGTTTCACTTCAACACTGGATAAATCAACATTTTCATTATATTACAAAAAAAATCGATAAAATATGAAAAATATCAACAAAATGTTATTAATATTACACAATATTAATGTTAATTATTTATAACTTATTTAGAAATAAAAAATATTTATTTGTTAATTTAAATATTTTTACATAAGAAAATTAGGTATTTTATAATTAGTCGATATTATAAATTAGCCTAACTTTACCAGTAATTGGAAAATATAGAATTCTTGTAACGTTCACTTCTTGACATTTCATTTTGAACAATGATTCTTTCTTTTTATTAATGTACAGAAAAAAACAATATGAAAAATTTACAGAAAAAACAATATGAAAAATTGAAGTGTATCATGAGCAATTGTTTGTTATGGTATTTTATGACAAATGGATAGTTGGGTATCTCCAATGTTCGTAAACATTTGCTTTGAATGAAGGTGTCACCATCTTATTAGAAATGGATATTCAACTTTTGTGGGTAGAAAGAGAAATCTACTTTAAAGTGATATGAAATTTGATGGGCAAATAAGAGATTTTTGAAAGTGTTACACACCTAGTAATAAATGAAATAAAAGAAAATGGGAAGGGAAAGACGGTCGAAGAATTCAAACTCACAACGTAAAAGTTATAGTGAAGTTACGAACACTTGGTGGTAGATGAAAAAAAAATAAAAAAATCACCTCTTAGAAATTTAGTTTGAGGATAGCTTTCATTGAGCTCCTCAAGAGTTTTAGCATATAATATTTTTTTTCTCACGAGGAATAACTCTACTAATATACTTTTATTTTTTTCTAATCTTTTATTTATTTATTACCTTGACATAAACTTACTTTTATAAAATTCACAAAATTCATCTGAACCTAAATTGGATCGGTCGGAGTTGAGTAAGTTTAGAGGTAAGAAGTTTAGATTTTCACCAATTTGATTTAGTAATACTTATAGAAAAACAAATTTATTGTGATTATATTCCATAAATAAACTTTCCCATGGTCGAATGGGTTTTGAAATAACTATGTTAATTTACAACTATTTGTGTTTGTTAGGTAAGAATAATGTACACTTATCCTATTCCTCTTTTGGGTTCAACGGATGTCCACTTATGATCCCACAAAGTAAGAATTTTGATTTGTATTTGAATGAGGGGCAGTCTTGGAAATTTCCACAACCCAGGAGTACGTTGGATAAAGGGTACAGTGGGCATCTGAGAAAACAACCGAAAGCCCAAAAGTTTCCCATCATCCATCTTCATCTGATGAGATGGACTCTGGTCCAATAGCATTGAGAGGTTGGGCTTTCTATTATATGGGCCGTAAAAATAATAATGGGCCTAATCGAAAGCCTGGTCGGTCTGGTTGGTGGGAATTCCTTCGCTTTCGCGACCACTGGAACACGCTCGCGCGTCATTGTTGAACGAATTTAAAGCCCGATTGTGATTGATCAGCTTCGACATTCTAAATTCTCCTCCCACTGTTTTGTATTAAAACTTACGACTGTGACGCTGTAGAAATATGGATCAGGCGGATCAATAGCCACATGAATCTCCTCCATCACAATAATATAATTGAAAACCCCTAATTTTTACCTTAATTTTGAGTCGACGGAATCTCCATTTTCTTTTCTCCTTTTTTTTTTTCCTTCTTTTTCCTTTCAAGTTTAAATTAATGGTCTAAGTTGGATCCAAAGGGTAAAAGAATTGGTCTCGAGTTTTTTTATTGAGTGTTTGAAGCACTATGACCACTATAGTTTAAACTCATTCTCTTTAAATTTTTTATAATTTACTTTAACATCTTTGAACTAGTGGAGTGCACTTTGATATTTATTGAAGGATCATGTCTTTTTATCTATTCTAGAGCTTTTACTCTAAGGATGAATAAAAACGTCAGAAATTTTTTCAAAAGATTGGAGGTTAGAATTTCTATTCTTACTTTTTGTTGAACTAAAAACCATTACTAACTGACCTAGGTGGTCAATTATTAAGACATATCTCTCTTCTTCTGAGAGGTCGTAGGTTTGTATTTCAGATTATGAAATTTTTATGAATACCCATCAATTCTTAGGAAATGAGTCTAAACAATTATCTCTAGAGATGTTCCTTTTGAAATTTCAAATTTAGGTTAAAATACATGCTTTTCATGTTTTAAATTTCTTCAAGCTTAAAGTCTTTGCAGTGCTTTTCATTGTTCAAAAGTCAAATATAAAACAAACAAGAAACTGCCTATTCCTAGCTTAGGGGTTACAACCCTACAGCCCGCAATTGAAAGCAAAATGCACCGTCCCCTTTAAAATGCTGCCATTTTACTCCCAGAAATTTGGCTTGGTCGCTACAATAAAGTAGCTTGCACCATAACGTTTTGGCCTATTTATATTTTGTTTCAACTTATTTTTTAGACTTTTTTTTATCTGGAATTATTAAATTTCTCCTTAGCACATTAAACATAATTTATTAAGAGAAGCATACTTCAATTAGATAACGCTCAAAAAGTAAAATGTTTGAATTCATACCCCACGTAACGTCGTTGAACTAAAAATGGTTTGTTGAAGATTTGAATCTCGAACCCTTAAAGTGAAAGTCTATCATACTAGCTAGTTTTATTAGGATGGCGAAAAACGACGGTATGCTAATTAACTAAACTATGGCAGCGGTGCAACCCAGAGAAGTGACAAACAAAATTGAACCATTAAGAAAACACAGATGAGACGGAAAGCTAGAAATCAGGATATGGGTGTTTATATGCTAAACAAAACCGAATCAAAGATGTCGTAAGGCAAATCTTATCAGAAAATACTTGACATAAAAAAAGGACAAAAGTCCAACTATTCCATGAACAGATAAATGGATGAATCTGAAGGCTCCTTTTAAGAATATTGTGGGATGAAGAAAATGGAATTAATGATGACAAAAGTAGATACGGAAATGAATGACATCGGTGAATAAAGTTTGAAGGCATCTGATCACGAGGGACAACGTGGCATCGAATTGTAGAGAGAAGAAATCATGCAAAGTTTGAGAGAAAATGAAGAAATAGTGAAAGGAAAAATTATTGAATATGGTTGGCTTCTTAATGACCGCCGATTATAAATCCATGATACAACTTGTGATGACTAAAGTTTCATAAAGGAAAATCCATCACGTGAAAAATTATTACAATCACACACACGAATTGAGATGGTTAAAACCCAAATCCATGAATTCCTTTTATATAGTAGTTGGAACACACTTCATCGTTGTACTTTTTCGACGWGGGACAACTTCCATTCTAATATTTTGCCAAAACTCAACAATTAATTGTCTGAAAATTTATGTTCTAAAATAGACAATATCGTCCTATTGTGGAAATATAAAAAAAGTCCATTATTCCTATATAATCTTAGTCAATAATTTTTCTAGGAAGTTAAAAAGCAAAATGCATGCTTGCAATGATACTGACAACGACTAAGGGCACCAAAACAATAATGCCCTATTATATTATTCTTGGTGATGCTATATACGAAGGGTTGGCCCTAAAAGGTGCTGCTGCTGCGGCAGCCTACCCTCCAACTCTAAACTCTCTCTCTCTTTTACTTAAATTCTCCACTGAGATATATGTCTCTTTCCAAGTGTGACATTCACCAGAAAATGGCTGTTCATCTTCATATTATCAGTTTGGCCGAATCCCACTTAGTTTTTTTTGTTCCAATAATGTCTATACGGTTAAGTTTTCCACGTCGAAAAATCAATTGACTTAATAATATTTATAAATACATGAACTATGAAATTAAACACAAATTCAGGACATTTGATCCGAAAAAGTATCCGTCCAAAATTTAAGATCTATACATTCTCTTGTTTTTGTTCATAATTTTGGTCCACAATTTATAAATATAAGTCCCTTCTGTTCTTGATAGATCCTTCACATGTTGGTTGTGGATTTAAGGCTCTATATTCACCGGTCAAGAATAGGGCAGAGATTTTTTAATGAATATTTTGGGAAGCGATCGTAGTGAAAGGTCTTTTTAGGAGTTCATTTTTTCCTTATTTTTTTTACATTTTTTTAGGAGATTTATTTGTCTCCCAAATTACACTTTCTGGAATATGGGAATGAAAGAGAATGATACGAAAGTTAATGGCGATGTTATTGGGAATTTCTCTTTAGAAACAAAATTTGAAATAGGCATCATGTTAAGAAGTTACATCAATTCTTAGTTTATTAATGATTCAAGT